TTAAAGAAAAATGAAATAAAACTTTCATTTCACAGTGTTTAAAATAAGCAGTACCAGTTTACCCTTCCACATGAGATATTTTCTTTTGACTAATTGTCAGCTGTTTTTATAGGAATGTTCTTTGGGAGTTCTGATTTAATGAGGATGGGTATTGAGAGAAAAACAGGATATTCCAGCTTGCAGTTTACCCAGCCCAGTGGGTGATGTTGTGTTGGATACTGGGCTGGGACGATTGGGAGAGAGATGGCTCCTAGTGAACCCCCTTTCATTTGTTATTGCTGCTGTGTTATACTGGATTCAACACAAGAGAGTGAATTATACTTCCAAAGGGTACCTCAGAGTTCTTTAAACATGAAGCAAAGGTAAATTAATGTCTCTCTCTTTTTTTATGAACTCTACAGAATTACTTATCAAGTAGTTACTAAACATTTAACATTGCTTGACTTACAATAAACGTTTATTATAGGAGCCAGACTGCCTGTATTTTAATTGTTCAGTTGCATAGTAGCCATGTATCTTCTTTGTGCTTCATTTCTTTGTCTGTAAAGTGGGGCTGATTATGGTACCCACCTCAGGGTTGTTGTGAAGACATAGGAGTTAAGGTATCTTAAGTTTTTTGAACAGGGCTACATATTAGCTAATACTATTGCTGTTACTGTTGTTGTTAAATGATTAGGTGTCCAAGCTGAGCCTGTACATTAAATTAGATTTTGGTGTATTTGGAACATAATCAACACCCTTCTGGACAACTACTAAAGAATAAGTAACATGCCAGTCTATGTTATTGGTTCAGAGAAGGGGACAATTATCATGAACTGCAAAATTCTGTGTCTTAAATAGCCATATAGACATTAGAGCAGGTGTCCTCAAACTATGGCCCAGGATCCACATGCAGGTGTTTTTGCCTGTTTGTTTTTTTACTTCAAAATAAGATATGTGCAGTGTGCATAGGAATTTGTTCAAGTTTTTTTAAACTACAGTCTGGCACTCCAGTGGTCTGAGGGACAGTGAACTGGACCCCTGTTTAAAAAGTTTGACGACCCCTGGATTAGAGGATACTTGTCTTTAATTATGTAGGTGAGAGCAACATGATTCCATTAATAAGAATGACAGTGAATGTTCTGTTTGACAGTGAAGGACCAGTTTGGGTTGGTGGGGGGCACCTGGCATCTGCTGGAAGCAGCAGGTCTGCTGAGCCATGGTGGGGAGGGGTGGCTCCCAGGAATATAAGATCTTTAAAAGACAGAGCTTTGGTTCTTGGAACTGGGAAGAAGGCTGAACTTGAGATGAAATAGGTGGGATTGGTCTCTCCTGTTGATAGCTGATCTAACCAGACATTTGAAAGCATTCCTCCCTCTCAGAGAGTTCTCTTAGTTTTCTGATAGGCAGTCACTGATACTGCTAGCTGTGCCAGAAAATAGTTCATGTATTAACTTCAAGTTTAGAAGATTTTAAAAGGTATCTTTTGGTGAGTGATCATGATGGTAAAGAACACACTGAAGATTTTTAGAGCTCAGGAAGGCACACTCGACTTGGCACACTTTCCCTTTATGTCACCCTGGTGTGCTGTCTTGCCTCCAGAAGATGAATGGCTTTTGCCTTAAGGTGTGGACCTTGGGTGCTTGTTGTTCATTTTCACCCCCTGGGTTTTTAAAGCTTTTAGATTTCTGATTCTCAGGCTAGACTGCACATTAGCACCACCTTGAGAGCTTTCATTATTAATAAAACAGAATTCCCTGGGCCCAGAGCCCAGACCAATTAATCAAAATCCCAGGGGGAGGGTGGGGCCTGGACACTAGTGTGTTTTAAAAGCCCCCTGGGTGACTCTAATGTGAAGCCAGGGTTTAGAACCTTGATTTAATTTATAATAATGATATCTCCTGTGTCAATAGGGGACTACTTGCTTGTTTGGGGACTGCCTGCCCTAGTACATCACAATATTCTCTGTTGTTCATCTGATTCCTGGTTTCCTTGGATTTAGTGGACTGATGGTTAGTTCCTAATATTGCCTTAGCTAGGTTTATAGAGTTCCTGCTCTTTTAGTCTTATGTTGAAATTTTTTATCAGTACCACAGCAAAGCAACCTCTTGTATATCCTTTCTATTCTCCAGTCTGCATGTCATCAGAAGAAGGATTTTCCCTCAAAAAAGAAATTAATTCTACCTACTAGAAGTTTGGGTGGGTGATATAGCCAGAACAGACAAGTTACAATGAATTGATTGCATGGTTAGGAGTTTAGGAAGGTGAAACTTTTTTTGCTGAACATCCCCTCTGCTAGGTACTGACTGCATTATTTCACTTGGTTCTCCCAGCAGTCCTACGAAATAGACACTGTTACCTGTGTGTAAAAATGTTAAGTAACTTCACCACATTCTTGTGGTTAGCATGCCCAGAGCTGAAGTGACACTTGGATCTATTCCTATGTTCCCTCTATCATATACCACAGCTACCTTTGATCTGCGTATTAGATTTCTAGAAAGCCATGAAAATTATTCATATTAAAATACTTTTATCATGAAAGGTAATTAAAATAGAGTAATATAAGCCCTTGTTTTACTTTCAGGAGAGAAATGCTAGGATATAAATGTATAAAACATTTTTTCTTGATTTGTTTCTGGAAAGAAGCTTTAGTATCCTTAAAGATTGGAAGCAGAATGTGAATTCCTTTTCCCAACCTTAGTATAGGACACTGAATTATATGTTTCAGACCTAGGCTTTTGGGACTTAAAGGCTTTAAAAAGCTAGAGGGCTAAAGTATTCTGTCTTCTGTCGCTCACTTAAGAAACATAGACTAATATGTATGTCTGTATTTTTCTTTTTGTCTTCTCTTTTATCTTCCCTTCTCTTCTCTTTTCTGTTTTAAATTTCATAAAAATACTGGGTACTGGGATTTCATAATAGTAAAGAGCAAAGTATTATGTGAACATCTTTGGGCCTGAAGAAGATTCATTTTCTATATGCATTTCAAGTGCTATTTTAAAGTATTCTTGGCAGCCCTTTAATCTTAATTCATGATCTTTCTTTGGAAAGATTATGAGAGGTAATGAAACATAAGGCTTTTATCTATGGGACTTTTAAAATTTATCTCCTAATCCAGCATATTTAGTGTCTACCTTTTTTTCCTCCAGTTTTCAACTAAGTAATTGTCAATATAGGATAACCATTTCTTTGAAGTTCTTTGAGAGAACACAGCCCACATGGAACTTTTATTTATTTTCAGCAACAAAACATTTAAATAACAGATTTGGTGGTACAGGTTAACATCTTAGGAGAGGCTGGAAATATGTATTTGTGTGAACTGATCTCTCTATCATCTGAAGACCCTTCCAAAAGAGAAGGTCTAGTTATTAAATATATCTAGAATAATAAATGATCTGAATGGAAAGAATTAACGATGCAAGTAGGTTTGCAGAGCTAAATGATTCAGAAGAGTTGCCACATAAAATATTGCCATATGAGTCTGAAATGCACTAGTTTTCTGTTTGGTTAATACAGAAAGTTTAGATACTTAGCTGCTTTTATATCATTTCATAAAATGTTTACCAAATGCCCATTGTGTGTAAGATACTTTACTAGGTGCTGTGCTATAATATAAGATATAGTGACATACATTAAGGTTAAAAAACTATGTTCTGTGGGTGAGCAAAGGAAGGAGTGATTACTTATTGATAAAATTATCACAACCTATGGGCTAAAATATAAAATACTTCTAATAAATAAGATTACTTTTAATACTGTAGGCCAAGTGATTCATTTAGTCAGTCATTCATAAATGTTCTGTTTACATTCTAAATCTTAGTTAATTTTTCTGTTTCCACATGTAATTTTAGTTTGTAGTTTTAAATAGGAGATATTCTTACCACTCGTTTGACAATTACATTTTTTTCTTCTACTGTTTTTGGAATTAAAATGAAATTGCCTGGAAAATAGTAGACTTATTTCATGACATATATCTTTGGAGCCTTTAAGGCTACTAAGGGTTTAGCATAGCTAAAAAGGTAGAATAGCTTTGAAAAGTATATTGAGTCACGTGACTTATAAATATCAGTATAGCTTGTTACAGAAATGGAATTAGCCTTCTGAGCTCTACTGTTATGACTCTACCTTGGAATGTACCCAGGGAAGTTGGATCTATAGAAAACATCCAGTTGTCCTAGATTCCTAGAAGTTTCTGTTTGAAAGAGACCTAGAGGTTTTTCTAATTTAACCCCTTCAGTTCAAAAAGATTGAGTCCTATCAATGTTAGAAGATGTTAGGAGGTAAGTCTGGTGATCATAATAATTTGGAGAGATCTTTGGTGTTGATATATTCATATTACTATTTTTGTTATTTCTCTGATGGGTTTTAAATGATATCCTTATGAATTTTGCCAACCATTAAGAATAGAGATCTAAAGAGGATGACGGATAACTTAAAATATCAGCAGCATTTTATATTTGAATTCATTTTAATTAGGATTATTTGCATCTGACTCTGTCTCCTTTTCTGTGGAGCTCCACTACTCAGTTAATGATGGTGAACACGATGCATGGTGGCAAAATGAAATAAGACAATGTAACAAAACAAATTTGAGCACTTATTTTAATGAAATGTATGTCTTTTAAGCAGATACCATAGAGTGTTTTCAATCTTAGCTCTATTTTATTACAGAATTACGTATATTAGTATTAGATAAAGATGATAATTATATTTTTCCTGATATGTTTGGTTCAGAATGTGTATACATAATCATCGTGACTTTTATCCGTTCTTCTTCACTGTAGTTTGTGTGAGAGATAGACAAGTAATTATATTTTTCTCATTTGCAGTTTTTAATACAGCATAAAAATATCCCTTTTTCTGATGACAGATGCATACATACATAATAAAAAGCAAATAATTCTGACTAATTTAGCCTTAGATATTATTATGATCAACAGAAACACAGAAGTATGTGGTGAGCACATAACTCAGTGCTTGGAAGACCAAATTTTACAGTAAATGTGGATTTCTTATTGCAGGTACATGTTGGGACTCGCAGCAATTCCAGCAGTTATACAGTTTTTTGGCTTTCTCTTTTTGCCTGAAAGTCCTCGATGGCTTATTCAGAAAGGACAGACTCAGAAGGCCCGTAGAATTTTATCTCAGATGCGTGGTAACCAGACCATTGATGAGGAATATGATAGCATCAAAAACAACATTGAAGAAGAGGAAAAAGAGGTTGGCTCAGGTATGTGGATTTCAGATTTACATGAATTTTAAAATTACATAGTGATTTTATTTAGAAATTGTATTTTAGCATTATTTAATATTGCTAGATGATGTAATGGTTTTATGCATATAACCAAAGATAAATACTTTAATTTTAAAAGTAATGTTATGAAAGAATAAAGAAAAACACCCCCCTGTTTGTCCTTAAATTTCTATTTTTATAGTCTTTTATTCTTTCTAAATTAGATATACTTGACATTATTGTCATCATTTTGTGTGTGTGTGCTTATTTTTTATGTATGTATATTTATATATAAATATCTTACATATATAATTATATATGTCTTATTGAGTTTCCATATTAACTTAAGAAGTTGTAGTGTGAACTATTGTCAAAATAAATAACCTTCATAAAAAATTTAAATGCCTATTTACATGTGTTAAATTAATTTCCATACTAATTTTTGTAAAGAATATAAATGCCTTCAGATACTAGTTTGGGGATAATTTTGTGTTTCCCCATTTTCATTAAAATGTTTAATTATATGTTTAATCCAAAGTTTTTACCACATCAGAAAACCAAGAAAAGAAGGTTCCCTAGTTAATTTATGTTGATGATTTTATTTGGGGGGAAGAAATCATATACAGATTGACAAATAGATCCTGAGGCAGGATCTATAATCTTGACGGTCTGATTTTGGTAAGTGATTTACAGGATGTAAATGTTGAAAAAAGTTTGACATTTCAAAACAGTTTTTCAACAATAACAATTAGTCTGCTTAGTTCACATCTTCCAAATTGGTCTCATTTTCTCTCAACCTTCCTTTGTTTTTTGCATTAATCAGTAGCTCAAATGGAGATGCTGATTTATATTTGGTCAAATAATTTTTCATGCCCAAGAAAATGCCAAACAGCACATACCTCTTTATTGATACATTTCATATACAAATGTTAGAAGGTCTCCTCCATTCACTTTCTCCTGCCATTTTTAGTAGAGTTGAGCATCGCTGCCTTGGTGAAACAGAATGAACACCCTGCAGAAGCTAGTTTCTGTTAGCCACATGTGGCTTGCCTTAACTTTATATATATGTAGCACAGTGGCATGATGCTCTTACCTTCTTGCACAGACCAGAGCCCTGAGTAACTGTGAGTTCATTCTATATGAAGGTCATTTTTTAATTTTTAAATTTTAATTTTTTGATTTTTGAGCACCTATTGTGTGCTTGGCAATGTCAGTATTTCTTGAGTAACATATTAGTACAAAGGTAAAGGATAATTTTGTTTTAGTAAAATAATTTACTGAGTTCAACACTGTGTTAATTTTTTTTAAATGCTATTTAAATTACAAATAACTTATTTTATACTCCTATCTAAATTTATCTCCTCAGTAGCTAGAATGGAATATGAGTTTGTTTCTGTAGTAATCAGTATGCTTGAAATTCATGTGCTAATAATGTGTGAGTGCAAGACCTTTCAAGACATTAGAATAATTACATTAAATACTATTTGGAACTTATATATTTTTAAATTTATATAAAGAACAAGACAATTTAAAAGGTCTTTCTTGTATAGGGGTAAGGATATCATTGATTTTACAAATGATTAAGGATGTATCATTTTGACTGCTTAAAAAAATGTCTAACTGGTCTAGCCGAGCAATTATTGATAGGTACTCTATTTGAATTTTAAGATATTTGGAATGTATAATGAAATTAATTTTTTAGAAATTTAAGGCACATAGGCATTTACCTACATCTGGTTTAGATTTTATCAAAAGTCTTTGTAAGCTAAATAGGGCATCATTTTGTGGGTATAGATAAAATAGTTCCCTAGTTCCCAGTTTTTATATAAATTTGGCTCAGGTTTTTAAAAATACTGTAATGTGGCCAGGTGCAGTCGTTCATGCCTGTAATCCTAGCACTCTCATAGGCCTAGGTGGGAGGATCACTTGAGGCCAGTAGTTTGAGACCAGCCTGAGGAAAAGTGAGTCCCTGTCTCTACCAAAAATAGAAAAAATTAACCAGGTGAGGTGGCATGCACCTGTAGTCCCAGCTACCTAGGAGACTGAGGCAGGAAGATCACTTGAGCCCATGAGTTTGAGGTTATAGTGAGCTATGACAAGGCCACTGCACTCTAACTGGGGTGACAAGGCAAGACTCTTTAAAAAAATACTATATTAGTCACTGAATTTTAATAACATTTGTCTCATAAATGGGTAAATATTCTAAACTTTGGAACTAATGGAATTAGTAGTTTATCCATTTTTAGATTTGTATTATTTGAAGTACTATCATCTTGCTTAATTTAAAAGCTAATCTCATATTCTTTTCGAAAGTACACAGTTAAGAGCACTATGGCACGAATGCATGCAGACAGATTTGCCAGTGTTACATGGCACCAGTGACTTTGGGCCTCATTTTTACCATTAAGAAACTTGACCACAGTGAAATATGGTCTTTAGAAATAAGAATTTTATGTCAGCATTGTAATGTCCAGAAGCAAGACTCTGTGTCAGTTTAGTTGGAAAATAGAAGTCAGCACAGGGACTTACATTAACAAACCGACATGGTCTTGGCCCTCCATCACGTTGCACTCAAGAATGATAGGCTAGGTGGACAAATACACATAAAGAAATAGTTAACTTCAAAGTAATAAAAATGGCCTGTCCCAGGAAAGATGAGTCAGCCATTGTGTTGGAGGATTAGAGAATGCCTTGTTAATCTGACCATGGATCCTGAGGAGGTGAATTTTGAGCCATGACTTCAAGCAGCTGCCTGGAGAAAAGAACCTTGACCTAAGCACCAGAATTTACACAGATATTCTAGGAGGCTGGAAAGAAGTTGTTTAAGCCACCATATTTCTTACAAAGAGAAATATCTTCACAGATATGGTGGCTTAGTTACCTCTTACTGTTGAGCTTGTTAATAAATGGGTTTGATTCCAGATCAGTAAACCGTGTCTTGTCTAGGAGCTGCCCAGTGGATTTGTGACTTATGACTGTTACGGTTCTTGCTTATGTGATCCTTCATTTTTTTTCATAGAATTCTTTTTTTCCTGGTCACTTGAGTTTAAACTTGCCCTCTTTGAGGAAAATAGGCATAGCTAATGACGTATGTACTGCGTAGCTAATGACGTATGTACTGTGTTTCCCCGAAAATAAGACAGGGTATTATATTTATTTTTCCTGAAGAAGACACCGTAGGGCTTATTTTCAGGGGATGTGTTATTTTCCCCTCAAAGCCTCAGCTTGCAGCACGCACAGGATGGCCAGGACCTGACAGGGGGAGCCGACCTTGTTGGTGGGGCTGCCTGTACCTTTCCCATTACCTCTGGGATACTAGCTGTCAGGATGGGGCAGATGAGAAGGGCTGCTCATCTTCTTTACCACTCCATGAGGAAATGCATGGGCTGTGCAGACACGCTGCGTAGCCACGCCCTTCACTAGGTCTTATTTTCGGGGTAGGGCTTATATTGTGCAAATGCTTAGAAATCCTGCTAGGGCTTATTTTATGGGTAGGTCTTATTTTTGGGGAAACATTGTATTAGCTACATTAATTTATTTATTTTTTTTGATATGTGAGGTGTTAGTGCATACAGCATTTACTTCTTCTGGTTTAAAACCAGACTTTGTGTTGTGAGTGCAGCAGTTGCTCTGTCCGTGTCAGTAGCAGTAGTGAGGCTTCCAAGCACATCGTGCTGCGGAACGTGATTTTGTTGCATTGTATCCCGTCTCTTCTACACGTGGCATTGAGATCAGACTCTTTCCATGGCATACAGTGTCTTCCGTGGGCTTTTCCACTGTAGTTGGCAAAACAACAACAAAAAGACAGTTTATGGGAAAAGAAGCAAACATTTGGTTTTCACGTGTGTTCAGCACTGTTTATACATCCTGTAGGAATAATAAAGTGAGACTAGAAGAAACAACAGCTTGGTTTGGAAAGCTCCCTGGTGTGGGAGACAGGGAGATGGAAGACTATTCCTGACTCAACCCCAAACTTGCAATTCTAAAAGGATCTTGGGAGAATGGTTGAGCTTCAGTTTCTTTTTAGGTTTGTAAGAAAAAAGAGCCAGATTATAATATCTCCAAGGTTTGATTTTCTTTTATTTTTTTTTTATAATTTTAAAAGTCTGTAGATTTCAGTTTCTTGAGCAAAAAAAGAAAAAAAAAAGTCTGTGAGTTCCATAAACATGAATATTGGGGGAAAAAATAAAAAGAAAAGGAAAAATTTTAAGAATTTAAATGAAAAAAAAAAGAAAAGAAAAGGAAAAGTCTGTGAGAAATGCTTGCTCTTTATTTCTAAATGCTATGCAGCAGCAGCCTTTCATTCAAAAGTATTTATTGACACTCAGTAAAGATGGAGATGTGGCAATAAATAAGATAAGATTCTGTTCTGATGGGAGGAGGCACACACATGATAAAAGGGTAAATAAACCTAACCTCAAATTGTGAGAATTGCTTTAAAGGAAATAAACAGGATAATAAAATACTTACAGATGGATGAAAAGGGGTGGCTTCAGATGGGATAGTTAGGAAAAGCCTCTCTAAAGAGGTGAACTTGAAAGGTGAGAAGGAATCAGCAATGTAGAGAACTACAAGGAAGAGTGTTCTTGGCAGCAGCAGCAGCACGTGCAAAGTGGTACATAGTATTAGTTGGACCAGACTAAGACTTACAGATTATTTGTAATTTTCGATAATAGTTGTAAGGTGTACACATACCAGATTTTTAAGACATTGCAGTAAGAATTAACTATACATCTTTATTTACCTCAGGTTGCCAAGCCTCAGCTTTAAATTAGCAGGGACACTGTTACTGCTTTAAGCATTATTGAAAGCAAATTTGAATACAGAGTAATATCGATATCATTCCCATCATTTTGTTGTATCTCTTTCATGTTTTGTTTCCCTAGTTTATTTCATGTTGCATAGATGTGCAGTAGAGTCATGACTTACATATTCAGCAGAGATAGAATCCTGAGAGAGACCTAGGTAATTACTTAAGGCAGTGATGAGCAAACTTT